AAAGTTTGGCTTTAAGTTTGACAAGGCCAATATGCTGAGTGAAAATTTTGTTACAAGTTGATTGATTGATTACAATACACACCCCTACAATAAATTACTGGATGTAGATCATGTGATAAGAATGATCACCAATCTTTTAACCTTAATTTTTTATTTTTATAAAAAAAAAGAACATTTTAGCCTAATACTATATAAAATAAAGCCTCTATTTTTTACTAAACCAAAAAAAAATCAATATTTAACATGCCAACTTTTAGCTTTATAGTTAGCTTTAACTCGGTCAGACATGCTTAAAATTAGATTGCGTAAGACCTCTAAAGGTATCTTTGCCCATTCTTCTTGTATGGCCTTAATTAATTCGTTTTTTGAACTAGGCAAGGGTTTTCTTTTTCGAACTTGACAATCAGGATAATCCCATAGATGTTCGATTGGGTTCAAATCTGGACTATATGGAACCCAATCTAAAATTGGAATATTATGTGTTTTCATCCACTATTTTGTATATTGGCTGTGTGACATAGAGCCAAATTTTGCTGAAATACTAAATTTGGATTGTCACGTATCCATGGTATTAAATTATTTGCAAGAACATTAACATATATGTCTCGGTCCATCTTTTCATTAACTACTACTAGCAGTCCAACACCATCCCAACTAAAACATCCCCAAAACATTACGGATCCACTATTATATTTAAAAGTAGGTTTAATACAGTTTATATAATATTCTTCTCCTACTCTTTGCCATACTTTTGTACATCCATCAGATCTAAATAAAGCAAATCTTGATTCATTTGACCAAAAAATACATTTCCATTCCTCATTCCAACTACGTTTTGCTTGACACCACTTTAATCATTTAATACGATCTTTATGCTTCAAAAAAGGCTTAAAACGAGCAACATGACCTTTTAAACCAAAATTATGAAGATAGTTACGAATAGTATTAGGTTGATAAGTTGTATTAAAATTAAGGTTTAATTCATTTGTAACTTTATTAAGAGATAAAACTTTATCCTTTAAAACGATTCTTTGTAAAGAACATTGATCACAGGATGAAAGAGCTTTTGAACGAGCAGATCAGTTTTTAGGATATAGAGAACCAGTTTTTTTATAACAATCTATAGTTTCATATACTGTTGTAAGGACAATACTCAGCGCAGCTGATATTTTTGGGGCATTTGAACCCGCAAGATAAGCACTAATTATTTAGTCTCTTTGCTTATTTGTCAATTCATTTCCATGCATGTTTGGTATGAAAAGAATCTAGAAAAAAATTTGGTTTTTATGAATATGGTTAACAATTGTGCCTTGGCCAAAAAGGGAAACAAAAGACTTTTTGAAAATACTTATCTTCGAAAATGATCATACTGCTATGCCAAAATCTGGTAATTTATTGTAGGGGTGTGTATTTTGAAGTTGGTATTCAAGAATAGGAATAATCATTGTGTTAATAATATAATGAGTATATGAGTCAGTGATATGTTTGGTTTTAGCAATTTGGATTAATTCAGAAGATTCAGAGATAAGTAGTTTTGTTTGTTTAGATTGTTTGTTGTTCAAAGTGAGCCAACAGCCTAAAAATTTGAAAGATATTTTAGAAGAGTGTAGAGAAAGAAGATAGTTATTATAAAAAATAGGTGTATAATAAGATGGAGAATTGTTGATAACCAGAATGAATTTTGAAGAGTTGACTTGAATATTGGTCATAGTATAAAAAGATTCAGCTATAGATAATATGTGTGATAGTTCAGATTGTGATGAAGCAATCCAAAGAGTATTATTTATATAAGCCAAAACAGAGCATTATTTTTGTAATAAGTTGGATGTTTGAAGTTTGAGATTGGTGGTCTAAGATAATTGTAGTTTGTAACCAGAAGTGTTAGAGTATATATAGGAAATAAGTAGATCATAGTAGATATGTCATAGCAAAGGAGTAATAGTTTCATCTTGGTTAATGCTATTGTGAACTGAATAGGGTAAAGTTAAGCCAAGATTAGTTATAACTTGATTGTGGCAGTCAGTGAGAAGGTCAGAGAGAATGTTAATAGTAGATAAAGGAAGTAAAATGCAGGAGAGTACATGTTTAAAGTGAGTAAAGTTGACAAAATCATAAGCTTTACTCATATCGTGTGAGAGTAACCAAATGTCCTTATGATTGCAAGATGCATCTTCAATAAGGTTGTTAAGAATATAGATAGAGATTGAGGTACTGTTATTGGGAAAAGCAACATAATTAAAAGATGAGAGAATAGGATAGGTTGAAAATATGGAGCTAAGTCAGTTGGTAAGAATTTTGGTATAAACTTGTGAATGTGTTTGACAAGACTAATAGGTCAAGTAAGTTTAAGGTCATCATCAAAAGTGTTTCGTTTAGGGATAGGATAAATGCAACTGTGTTTTTATTGTTTAGAAATTCTGTTCTCAATAAGGCAACAGTTGAAAAAAGCAATAATAGCAGAAATGCATAGAGGGCTAATATGTTTGAGCATTTCATAACTAATGCCTGTAGGACCACAGGCTTTGTTATTAGGTAGTTGGGAGAGGGTTCT